AAAAACACACACACACACACACACACACACACACACACACACACACATACACACACACAAACGCGCGCGCGCACAGTGCCCCACAAAATATTTCAACAATCAAACAAACGACTGCTAAATTAAGAGAAGAAGTTTTATTTTAAAAAATATTTTATTTAAAAAGATTGTATTTATTATATTATTGAATTATTTCTGCATTGATATTACCTAACTATGTGGAGATTATTTTATTCCTGATGTCGAAAAGGATAACGCTTTTAAAAATTAAATCAAGGATTTTAAGTTGATTTCTTTTCGGATGATTTTCAAGTTTCGAGGAAAATGGCTCTAAAAACTAACAATTCTAAACTTTTGTATTTTTCTAGGTTATGAATTTCGAATTCCAAAGTTTATTTTAATTTTTAAATTATTTTCATGCACGAGGCTTTCTTTGCTCTGTCGAAAATACCTTAAATCGCAATACCTCTGCAAGAATTCGATAGATATCGACGTTTGCTCGAGAATTTTAATTAATACATAATATAATACGTTGCAAGATCGAGGTACAATCGAATTCATCTGCACGCATTATTTGGCACATTTGATAATGAGGTTGCGATAACTTTTGAGATTAGAGTTTTGGTGACCTCGATAAGCCGACAGAAAACTTCAAATTGGCGAATCATCTCGTTCTCGAAATATCGGCTTCGTCTTCTGCATCGGTTTTGCAAAATTCCGATCGTTTCTCTTTTTATTGCGATAGAATTATGAGAGGGAAATCAGTCTTATTGTTATTTATTGTTCTCTTTTTTTAATACACAGAAGGAAATTGATTACACCTGTGTCCAAATGGAAAATTTATTAATCAAAATCCTTGCGATCTTTTCGCAAAGGCTCAAAACACGAGGAGATGTTTATTAACGATTTCTCTTGCCATCCCCAAGAAAAAAAAAAGAAATATCCCGCAGAGAGAAGAATTTCTGAGGAATTTATATCTCATTTTGATAATGGACGTCATTAAATATAATGGATAAACAAAATATTTGCGTTATACGTTTTTCTTGTCGCAATTTTACAGGTAAATAAGGGATATGGCATGAGAAAACATCAGATTAAGGAATAATTTTTTATTTGCAACAATGTGCAGAATGAAATCCAATTAAAAAATATTACAAATTATTTTTTCAAGCAAGTTTTTTTTTAAGACTTGTTCAGATTTCTTTGTATGTATCGGTTTCTTCACTGATTAACTCCTTTATTTCTTTAAACGAAATCGTATGTTCTTTTTTTTGCAATCGATTCTCGTCATTATTCTGTATGTAAAAGTAAAAGTCATAAAAAACACATCATTGATACTTTATGAGAAGTTTGATGTTTTATCCTAACATACTTCGATAAAAAACATGAAATGCTTCGCGAAATATTTTTATTTTGCCTTCACATTTTTATTAAAGTAGCGAGAATAACAGATACCAATTTCTAAAAAAATAAATTTAAGGATATTGATTTTTATATTTTATTTACGCGAAATTTAATAATAATTCTTTACAACTGAAATCAAATTTAATTAATTTATTATATATATATATATATATATATATATATATATAATATTTATATAAGTTACATGCAGAAAAGCGTTCAAGTTCCCATAAGTTAAAAATTCTCTGTACGTGAAGCTTATCATTATATCCTCATGTTAGTATTATGACTTATCATGAGATATATAATTTGCGATTTCGACCGGAAATGCGAGTTTACAGTTAGAGTGCGGTATGATAATGGTATCACATTTATTTTTGGGCAAAAACGCGAATCTCTTTCGAAATCGGCCACGCGACATAAAACATATGATAGTGCCCTTCTTCAATCAAGTTACTCATTACGAAAGTGATTTTTTTCTGTTTTTGCGATCTGTTAAAAGTCATCCGACAACTTGAGCAAATAACCTAGCTAATCACGGAAACATATTAAACAAATCCCGTAAAAATATAATAAGGGAATAATTATTAATCTGAAAAAATTTTGAAATTTTTATAGATTTTCTCTTTTTCTTGTGCTATGTTAATTGTCTCTTAAGTGATTTATCAATCATTAACAACAAAGTCATCAAATTGTTTAGTAATCGCGGCAAATAATTTCGCAATATGTATTTTCTTAATTAATTAAAATTACAACGCAATACAAATGAAATATGTTACTTATACTCAAGTGAATAGGTGAATATATGAATATATAAATGATACATTTCATCTATCTTATGTTGCGGTTTTAATTAATTACGAGAAAATTACAAAATCATTTACAATCACAGTTATTAAAAATCTGAGCACTTTAAACACTTTAAATGATTGATGAATCATGTGAATTGAAATATTAAACAAAGCTTTTTGCAGCGCGAAAGAATATTTTCATGCAAATATTTTTTTTTTATTTAGACCTACGTTTCTCGTTCTTTCTTTTTTTTTTTCTCCATTGTTTCTATACTAATTATGCCAAAGGCATAATTTCTCCTCGTTAACGATGAAGATTAATGATGAAAAAGATTAATGCAGAAAAAAAAGATGTCTTGTCAGGTGCATTACGTGATATATTCTTCTCTGTTTCTGTTGAATTACCTCTGCCTTGCAAAACAAAAAGAGACGGAGGTAAGACATGACTCGCGCGAGATGGAGGAGTAAACCTGAGAATGAATCACGAGGCCTCGTGCGTCGTAGGTCGCGTGTTACGCGAGGAAGACGAGGAAGAAGACGAAGAAGAAGAAGAAGAAGTAAAACGAAGGCGAAACGAGACGCGGAATATTTAACCGGGTCCCATCAATGGGAATACCGTCGACGAGCACGGCGGTCGGTGCTTTTCTCTCCTCCACGTAAACACCACCGCCAGGTCTATCTCTCCCCTTCCCGCCCCCGCCACTCGCGAAGCCACGAAGCCCTCCCTCCCCTTCTCGCGTAGCTTTATTTCTCATCCCATTATGATTCTCTTCTCGCGCTATCGCTCTTCCTCGCATTTTTTTCGCGTGATTTCTCTCTATCTCGCCCCCGCCCCCATCCCCTCCCGCCGCCGCTTCTCTCTCTTTCTTGCGCGCTTTTCTCAGAGGCGAAGGGGCGAGACCCGGAGCAGCGGTTAGTAAATATGATACCGGAATCGGATACAAGGAAACCATTAATCATACAAGCGGGCGTGAATGGGATCCGCATTCGAGCACCGCGAGAGCCGCTAATTGTAAGTGGAAGATTTTTGTAGGCTTATCTGGCTGGGCAAAAAGAAAGAGAGGTCGCAGAAATCTCCGAAAGCTCATTGAAATCCCTCGTGAAAAACTTTCGCATGAGTGTATCATCCGAATCACTTTAACGGAACTTCTAACAATCTTCTTCCCTTTTTTTACGATTGTCCGTCCTTCTTCTTGGGGAGGACTTGATTGCACCACTCGAGAGGAATATCGGTATCCTCCATATCGGTGTCCTCCGAGCCGCGAGTATAGTAATCCGTCATACACGCAGATTGAGCGAATTTATGAATAATGAATAACGAGCGAGAAAGAATTTAATCATTTTTCGATCTTTGATGAATATTTCGAACGTGTAAATAAATAATCGGATAATAATGTTGAAAATAAAAAAATCTTGGCTTCTTCATACGAAACATTTACCGAAATAATTTACAATTTACGATTTACTCAAGTAAATTATATTTTCATTTTAAATAATAATTTATTTATATTTTCAGTTACGCTAAAATGAGTATATCGCAAATTTTATTCCAATAAGTGAAATAAATAATAGACATTATTGATTTATTTAACATGAGCATTATTTATTTGAGCTGTTTATTGAAGTTGATTAATAATGTGAAAAATATATTGTATATTGTAAGATACTTACACAAAATTTTAATTTTATGTAACAATTTTTTTATTTTGCTAAACCGATGAGTCAATAATCTCACTTGTCAAGTGAAATAACGACAATTAATATGAATAATGAATGAATGAATGACGCATAATGCAAACACTGAATGATACAGATAATAAAAATAACGAATAAATTCAAAGACCAAAAAAATGAATAATTTTAAATAAATCTTGCGAGAAACGTTTATCTTTTTAATATAATATATCAATTTTGTATATTTCACAATTATTTTTATTTCTTCAATTTTCTTAGAGTGTATTGCTTACTCGATAAACATTTTTTGCAAAATTGGATTACATCCTTTGGCATTTCGCGTTAATAAACATTTCTCATAAAAGGAACTCCTCGGAAATAGGATTTGAACTTAGCTAAGCCAGCTAGCTTAGGTAACTTAGCTAAGCCTCAGTTTTGTCGGAACGATTTTTGCGAAGGATACTCACTGTCGCAGTCGCAAGAGGGTTGAGATGATTTTTCACGTAGTCCAATATCGATCTTCGCTGAAATTCTGCTTTCCCTCGAACTTTCCTGCCCGACGATTCGCTCGAGTTTACCGCAGTACGCACAGCAGAAAGAAAAATCGACCGTCTTATATAAGTCTGTCCTTATATACGTCCGATTCGCGATTACTTTAAGTCATCGCCGAATACCATTTGTTTGGATATTTTTCGCGAATCTCTCTATCTTCTCGCTCTCCCTCCCTCTCTCTCTCTCTCTTCTCTCTCTCTCTCTCTCTCTCTCTCTCTCTCTCTCTCTCTCTCTCTCGTCGTACGTACGTACGTACGTACGTAC